GCTCGTAAACAAAAATAAGGGGGGGAATTCTATTGCTTAGACACTGTTTGGACACTAAAAGCTCTTTATACAAGACACTTTTTGCAGATTTTTTAAAACTCCAGTGCTATGACTAAGGTGTTTTCACTGTGCCTTTGTTAAGTATTCACAGTTCACACAGGCACAAAAATCAGGCAGAGTTGGCACACCAGGGTCATCTCAATAGCTATCAGCATCACATCCCTAAGGGCACAGGGGGCAACTCTTTTCCTTCCCTGGCATTTCTGCTGGGGGCTTATATTAAGCCCTGTTCATGTATGACTTACATTCTCCTGACTCCTTACTAGTGCATCTCCAATCCTTCCTGTTTGGTATGTCTTTTTTCCATCCTCCTATTCCTATCCGTTAAAATCCTACTTCTCTTTGAAGGTCCCAGGACGTTGTTCATATTCATAACATTCATATCTATCTCACTATATTCATGTCAATTATTTGCCCACTTGATTACTTCTTCCAAGAGGATAGGGGCACCTTCTGGGCAGTGATGCTATTTACTCATCTTTATCTACCTCTATCCCTGTGATCTAGCCACTGCATAGCATATGGTAGCGGCTCAAAAATGCCTGAACAAGTTCGGGAGCCAGAGCTACTGCTGCTTGTAATGAGTTGCTTTGAGGAATAGAACATTCACTTTCCCCTAGACGTGTTCAGAGCTATAGTCAGATAATCATTAAGGAGATGCTGTTAGGAGGATTAAAATCTTAGGTGATCAAACTAGATTGCTTTTAAAACCCTTTAGACTCAAGGAGTCTGAAATTCTAAACAGCCCTGTGAAAGATAATATGCATTGTCCCCTAGAGGTGTTTTTTTTTCTCTTTTCCTTGTTTTTCTCTGTAAAGAAAGACATCTCAGAAATTCCCAGTTAAGAGCAAATATTAAAATCTGTTGGGGCTGTGGTTATAGCTCAGTGGTAGAGTGCTTTCCTGGCATGTGTGAGGCACTGGGTTTGATCCTCAGCACCACATAAAAATAAATAAAGATACTGTGTCCATCTATAACTAAAAAAAATCTGTTGCTGGTCTTCTATCATTTTTTCTATTTGTAGCAGCTTGGCTTATGAGCAAGAAAAATAAAAAACATCTTACATTAGTGGCTCAACCACTATCCTTAAAATAAATCAAGAAATAAGAGGCAGAAATTGAGTGTAAATTGTTAAATGCAGATTATAAGCTCTACAAAGAGGATGGTGGAGTCAATGGGAGCCAGAGTAATCAATGAAAGGATCTTCCTCCAAGTATTGCAGGATGGATAGGATATAAATAAATGAACAGAGAGAAGAATTTCCATGTTAAAAAAGAAAAAAATAGGAAAGTTATGAGGGAAAAAATAAACACAGTGTGGCACTGAGAACAAGAGGCAGCATGACTAAAGTTCAAGTCCAAGTTGGGGTAGAGTAGGAAATGCTACTTGTCTACCAAAGTGGGACCAGATAATTGGGAACATGAAGGGTTCTTGAGAGGCTGGTAATAGGAGACCACTAAAAGTCCTAAACAGATGAGCAAGATAATGAAAGAAGAGGTTAAGGTAAATCAAGTCCTGGAGAATACTGCATGTAAGTTAGATGCAAAGGGAGAGCTATTACTGTAAAGAGTGACAACTGGGAAGAGTATCATAATCAGGTAGGCTTCAGGGGTCAAAATTCTGCCCTGGAGATGAGGGTAGAGGAATGGTCACAGGGGAAGCAAAAGAGGAATATCCCCAAAGAGAATCTAGACCTGCTAAAAGAGTATGGGGGAGTTGGGAATGTAGCTTTGCAGAAGAGTGTGTGCTTAGTGTATGCCAGACTGTGGGTTTGATCCCCAGCATCGCCAAAAATAAGGGGGTATAGAGAATGAAAGAAAAAAAGTATGTATCAAGAATAATAGAAAAAATAGTAGTAACTCCTTCGCCCACTAAAAACCAAAAAAAAAGGAACTAAGGAAGAGATGCTGAATTGAAAGACATGGTAGCTTTTGGACATGGTCAATCTACAGTATTTCCAAATATCCAGGAAGATAATCTAAAGGATAGAAGTTGAGATAAAGAAAAGAATTCAAATTAGAGATGTGGGAGCCTTCTACAGATAAGAGAATGTTGAAGTTCTCCATTGTGAAAGAGAGGACAAGTTCTCAAAAGTTCAAAAGTGATGAATCACAGAACCTTGAGATCATTTCAAAACCAGAAGTTCGCAAGAATATCAACTCAGTTAAAGGAAGGGAAAAAAAAAACAATCAATGTGATATAAAAATTCAGAATTTGAAAGTGTCACAGAAAACATGAAGAGTTTTAAAAATTCTTGGTGATAGATAATGGGTGATGATGGACAAGGGCCAAAGTAAGTAAAAGAAACCAGTATACTAATAATTAAGTAGGGCTGTTTCCCCTTTCAACTATTAACAGAGTATATAAAATTATTTAACTAGTGGGTGAACATAAAGAAGGGCTTTGTGGCTGTAAGACACACTCCATTTTATTCTATTAATGATAAACGGAGATATAACAAGATGTGCAATTATTTGTACAAAGATAGTTATAATTCTATTATCATATATTGATTTTGAGTAATATTATTGAGAATATGTATCCTCTGGATGTTACATTTAGGAATGACACTGCAAATGCAAAGTATTGGTCATATGTTATAAATGTGTGGGTAACTTAACAAGTGTTCAAGTCTCAACAAAAGTTAAAAGGAACATCCAAATGCATTTAAAACCTAGAGAGACTACTTCATGGTATATGGCCAAGCACATACAAGGAGGATGTGTGTTTTGGAGTTCACAAGAATGTATGGGAAAAAAATGCTGGTTCATGGAATACCCAGTCTATGATGGGACCTAACAGAAACCAGACTTGCATCTACTTTTATTTTAGTTGTGAATCATCTGGAAATATACTGCAGACAGAAAAAAAAATGTTTCTGGTCAGGTTGGGTATTAAAATTACTCATATCTGCCTGATAGAGATGACATTTGAGGAAGCCAAGTGCTTTTCCCACTGTCACTGATGAACAGGAAGCTGGCCTCTGGAATAAAGACATGAACTACTGCACAAGAAATGCCTTCTATTTGTCCCAAATGGAAATGAACAAATTAATAATTAATAATGACTATGAACAGATCCCAATTTGGTGGGGTCTTATATAATTTCGACATTCTCTTTATAAAATAGAAAGCAAAATTGTGAAAAGAAGATTCAGTATGGAACTTGTTATTTATTTAGCACAAGAAACAGAAGGGACTTCAAGCTGTAAGGCTATAAAGCATAAGGTTCATCAGCTACACGCTAAATCCACATCTGATAATGACCAAGTATTGGGAATCAGGTGGGAGAAAGGAGAAAGATCAATAAATCAGGCAGAGGGAAAAACAAAAGATAAAACTCTTAAAGGAATACTGGAGACAAGCAAAGAAAAAGGTAAGAATAAAATCCCAGAAAGATCCCCAAACTGTGTGATATATAGACAGAAGAGGAGACAGAACCCCTAATCAATTAATCCTACAAATTATCATCATATTAATTTTCCAGTGACCAACAATCATATTGCTTCTAGAATGCTTGCCTAGAAGGACAAGGTGTTTGAAAATACCAGTCAACAAGTGTTTGTTAAAGGAGTGAATAAATAAAGGAATGAAGGTGAAACAATAGAAATGCTCCTTTTTCTTACTCGCCATCAGAATCTGCTATCGTCTGATGCGCCTACCTAAATGCATGTTTTTTCTCAAACTGGCTGGAATTGCAAAGCAACAGTTCATCAGTTCATGTCAACCTCTTCTCTGGTGATCAAGACTGTTTATCCTGAACAGCCTGAGCTATTTGTATCCAAAATTAATATATGAACATGTTCAGCCTCGTCAAAAGATCACACATAAAAAAATGGCTCCTTGTTGGGGTACCTTATTTACTCCCTTCCACCTTTCTTCCCCTTCTTTCTAAATCACATTCTATAGGTACATTTGAAATTACTAACACCTGGGGAGAGGGGACAGGTCAGTGTGGGATTCTAGCTAGGACTGAAACATAACACAATCTCTAAATTTCAAATATTTTTGCCAAATGTAACAATATTAATGGCAATTTAATGTATTAATCATGATGAAGCTTTCAGGAAGATACCCAAAAGCCTTATGCACTACTCACTTGATCAACCACAAACTCAAGCCAGAACCAAGGGACAAAATGCAAGTCAGAAAGAGCTCTTAGAAAAAGGACACAAGCTGCCCTCAGCGCCTGCTTCATAAAAACATTCCCTTGGGCAATAAAAGCCCTACACCTTCCTGCAAGTTCAGAAAAAATGGGAGTAGTAATAGGTTGAAACTAAGAGCTCACCTTTCCTTTTAATTTTTAATTTTACCTTTTCCTAAAGGATTCTATCTCCCTGCCCTTCACCTACCAAATTTTCTAAGGAAAAGTGCTTTAGAGAAGAGCAGGACTGGATACTACTACTACTACTACCACCACCACCTCAATACTACAGAAATTCGTAGTTCTGTTTAGAGCAAAGGATGTGAAATCAGTAAGGTAAAGCAGCCACCTCAGGAATTAGGAGTGAGGGTTTTAAATGAGAGAAAATGGTTCAGCCACTTCCCAGCTAGGCTATTTGATCTCCTGACAGTTATTAAACCTGTCTCCTCCCAAGACTTCAGTTGCTTGGTTTTGTGAAATATGGCAAATTTGGCACCCACCATATAGAACTGCTAAGGACTGAGAAAATCTACAAAAAGTGCTAAATGTAACTGCACAGCAAGAGTTAATTAAATATTAGTATTTAATAATAGTAAAATAATTGTGCCTCCCTCCCCCAGTTCACACCACCAGCAAAATGGACCCAACCCCCATTCCCACCTCGTAGGATTTGGAGCCCTGGCACAGTTACACTCTCCCAAGCACATTAGAGACCTCCAAATACCACAGTCACATTGCAAGTCCCCCACCCCAGGCAGGCCAGGGACCCTCAGGCCACCGCTATGGTGCACACTGACCTGAGATGCCGCCTCCTATCACGACTACGTCGAACATGTGGCCTGCGGTACTCGCTTTCTCCCGACTCGCCATGCTTTGGTTGGAACTCTCCGGAGGCGGAGGCGTGGGTATAAGAGTGGGGACCGCCAAGGACCAGGCGGACCCTTTTACCCCCTCTAGCCCGGCGTCCGGGGGCGGAGCCAATCTTTCTAATGATACCCAGGGGTAGGGCAATGAAGGCGGTGCGGACTCTGGTGCTGACACTCGGGGAGCGCCTGGGGGCGGAGCTGATCCTTCCAGAGATACCAGCGGGGAGCCGGGCGCTGAGAACGGGGCGGGCTCTTGTACTGACACTCGGGGGGTGTTATTTGGTACAGGAGATATTTGTAACGAATTCCGGGGAGTGCTGAGCACTGAGGGCATGGCGGACTCTTGTATTGATATTTGGGAGGCGTTATTGGGCGTCGAAGGTCCTTGAACCGACATTTGAGAAGGGATATAGAGTGTACGAGGTACTGGTATTGGTAACCAAGGATAGCCGGAAAGAGAGGGCGTGATGGATCCGTGTACTGACCCTTGGGGGGAGTTATTGGGTGTAGGAGGTGCTTGTACCGACAGTTGGGAAGGATTATTGGATATAGGAAGTCCTGGTACCAATACCCAGGGATAGCCAGACATTAAGGTTGGGGTGGGCTCTTGTAGCGACCCTCGGGGTGTGCTGTACACTGAAGGTGCGTCTGACGCTACTGACTCTTGATAAGAGCTAGGCATAGAAGTCAGGGAGGACCCTCGTCCTGACAGCTGGGAGGAGCCCAAGGGCAGGGTAGATTCTGCTCCCGATTCCCGGTGAGTGCCAGCGTCTTGGGAGGAGGATGGGGAGGACCTATCTAAGGTGGTTGACAGACTGGCAGGTGTGAGGACATGATCCTTAACTCCTTGGGAGCTTAAGCTCCTGGGGCTAGCCGTGGAGCTGTTATCATTTCTCTGGCCAGAACTAGTGCTGAGGTGGGAAGGCGCACTGGAGCTCCGGGACTCAGTAGGATTCTCAGTGGACAAACTAGATGGGACATCAGAAGTTGGTTGGGATAGGGTCCGCCACTCAGAGTGGATGCTCCACTCAGAGTTGCTCGAGCCTGTACCCGCGCTGGAGTCTAGGTTCTGGACCGCGGCAGGGAGGTCCCGGGCTTTGGAAAACAGCCCCGCCTCACGCCCCCTGCCGCTGCTGCCGACGCCAACGCCTATGCTGCTGTCTTTGCCTCTGCCTTTGCCGCCTCTGCCGCTGCCGCCGCCGCCCGAGGTGGCCACACTGTATGCGCTCATGGTTCTTGAGTTCGCGGGGCGCTGGCAGAGGCGTCCTGCCACCCCTAGCCTCCCCTACCCGCGCTTGCCTTGCGGGCCCCGCTGTCAGGAGTCTGCGCTCTCAGAAGCCGGGAGGGAGGGCCCAGCCCATTAGGAGGCGGGGAGACGAGGCGCTGGTGTGGCCTAGCTCCGCCTTCCCCGTCTGCGGGCCGCTGCGCGCGCGTGCAGAGCTCTGCAGTTGGTAGTGGCCAAGTGATACCACTGCAGAGGGGAGGACAGTAGCCTGGCGAGAGTAGGGGCGTAGGTGTAGGTGTGGCCAAGTGGGTTCTTAACTTGTTGATTTATTTCTCACGCTTCAATTAAGAGGGTTATGGGCGGCAAGGGGCTTGGAAAATCAGATATCTGAAAGAAACAAATGCAGTGGGCAGGGTCGCAAAACCACCGTCCTGGCTGCACTTGGTCTGCCCCCTTTGTGACGTCACTTAGGGCCTGGTGAGGTCTGCGCAGCCGCGAGCTCTCCCTGGAGAGGGGAGGGGTAAGGTGGAAACTGTCACTTGGGGGAGACCTGTTAGTTATTGGTTCTTTATGGGTTTTTTTTCCCCCCAAGCTGAAGTGCTTAATTGAAACAGGTAGGCAGGAAAAATAACTCGGTTATCACAGATTAAGCGGGACAGGAATATAAAAGTGAAAGTCAAAGGATGGCTAAGGCACAGAAGCAAATAAAAAAGAAAATGTGTTTCCCCATTCTCCTGAAACAGCGATATGTAGTGCTTACACTTCATTGTGCAGCCACTCTTCTGTCTTGCTAGTTTTATCTCTTTCTTAAAATCCCACATTTTCCTATCCTTCTAAAATGGAATTTGTCATCACTGGAACCCTCAAAATAGATGACAGTATGATATGAATTTAGGGTAAATGATGAGAACTCCAAGAAATTAACTAAATATGTGTTCCTACCTATAAAAGTTTATCCTGCCTGACTAACAAACATCTTTTGAACAAGCTGTGAGGAAATATAGATGTAGTAGTATTTATCTGTATTTAATAGTTTTTACCACCTAGAAAAGGACTTGAAATTGAACTAAATTGGGATCATTTTTATCTTATTAGACTCTGAAGTAGTGAGAGAGGAAATAATAAAGAAGCCAGCTCTTTCTAATGTAATTCTGCCCACTTCTCTCCTTATTCATGTTATTTATTTTGGTTTTTATTCCAAAATGTGATCTCACACTATTGCTAATGCAAGGTACGGGAAATATGCCGGCAACACAAGACAGAGGCCATTATCGTTCCAACACAGTCTTGTAGAGGCAGGTTTTGAGAACTCAGACCAAAAATGGAATCTTGGTTTATTGTGGAATCTGACAAGAGTTCATTGAAAAATAGAAGTGAGACAGAGTGAACAACCTGATTGTCTATAACCTACTCAACCAGTCAATTGGTTACAGTTTAACTTGTTTATTTGTTATAGTTTAGTTACTTGGCTACAGGGTCTCCTACAACCAACCAAAATACAGTTACTGTAATTAAACTCTGTATTGGTTTGGTCTGTTGGAAGCAGTGCAGGTGCCCAATCCAAATCCGTGACCTATGCAAGTTTTTATTTAACATGTATTCTTACCACACTGGAAATTACCTTTGTGTGAGGAAATGTAGAAATGTTCCAGAAAGAGGAAACAATGTGAGCAAAGGTCCTGTGGTAGAAAGAAGCATGGTTCATTGGGGCAACTAAAAGTCAGCCGGTGGAGCTATGGCAAGGGGGAAGTGCTGGAGACAAAGCTGCTGACGACAGCTGAGCTAAGGTAAGACTGTTGATCTGGACCTGGGAATATAGCTCAGTGGTAGAACTCTTGCCCAATATGCACAAGGTCCTGGATTCTACCCTAACACTGAAAAATGTCCTTTTCCTTTATCCAAAGAACACTGCAAGATTTTTAAGTAAGGCATTATGCCCAGATTGAGTTTTCAAAAGATCTGGCTTCCTGCCATGTGAATAAGGGGCAGAGGGAAGCAAGAAAAATAAATAGATACAGAAAGGGCAAAGTTAGGAATTCTTCATAGAAAGAGGTAAAAGTGTCATAGACTAAGGAGCTTTTTGAAAAGGGCTGCCTAACGCAAGTTGTGCCTTTTAGTTCAGGGTGCACCCAACTTACAGAAAGCTTACAGGGTGGAAGCCAGGAAGATAAATACCCAACCTTCATGTCCTCCCTCCCTCCAGTCTTCTACTGATCCTATCTGTAGACCTAATCCAACCCCCAACTATGTGACAAGGAAGCCTGTTGATGCAGTTCATACAGAACAGCGGGGCAAAGGGAAGTAGTGTTGAAGTGAGAGCTAAATGAGCAAATGGATATAACACTTAGTGTAGTACCTGACATGTAATGATTACTCAGTACATATTCACGTGTTAATTTTTAAAAGCTACATTATATATTCATAGCATGTATTATAATTTATTCAACAATTATATTCTTTTTATTTAAATTTTATTTTCAGACAGGATCTTGCTAAGTTGCCCAGGTTGGCCTCTAACTTGTTATCCTTCCATCTCAGCCTCCTGAGGATCTGAATTACAGAAGTGTGCTACTGTGTGCAGCTTCCAATAGTCTTTGTGTTAATCGGTTTTCCATTGTGACAAAACATCTGAAAAAATCAACTTAAAAGGAGAAAAGATTTATTTTGGCTCACAGTTTCAGAAGTTTCAGTTCATGGTCACTTAGTCCATTGTTTCTGAACCTGTGGTAAGGCAGTACATCATGGGGAAAGGCATGGCAGAGGAAAACTATTCACCTCATGGTAGCCAGGAAGTAGAGGGAGACAAAGGGAATGAAGAAGAGGGACAAAGGAGCCTGGGACAAAATATACCTTTCAAGGGAACAACCCTGGTGACCTACTTCCTCCAACTAAGACCCACCTCCTAAAGTTTCCACTAGTTTCCAGTAGCCCATTTAGCAGTTAATCTATTGATGAGGTTGGAGCCCTCATGATCCAATCACCTCCTAAAACTCACACCTCTGAACACTGTTGCACTGGGTGTTCAAGCCTTCAGCACATGGACTTTAGGAGACATTTCAGATTCAAACCATAACAGTTTTGTCTTTTTTAAAATTTTTTTTACAAATTATTTACAATATTCATGCATATTCTTTTCATTAATACAGTCATATACTTAAATGAATTTGAAACTTATTTCATCCATGAAGAATTCTCTTGGTTAATTTAGTTGAGATGATGATGTTTTCTAAACATTAATTTGGGTAATTTATATTTGACAGCCTTATTTAACATCTTTTTAAACAGGTCTTCATCTCCAGTATACTCAAAGGAAATTGTTTTCTTTATCCCTGATACTAAGCAATTTTGTAAGGATAATGTATATGTGTTTGAGCACGCATGTGTGTCTGTGTGTGTGTGTGTGTGTGTGTGTGTCTGTACAATCATAAATTCTGTGACTTTTAAATTTTGAGTTTTTTAAGATATGAAAAATTGTACTCTATAGCTGTAATAAAAACTGTAATGCATTCTGCTGTCTTGTATTTAAAATAAAATAAAATCAATAAAATGGAATAAATAAATAAAACCACAAGCACCAATAAATAAATAAATAAATAAATAATTTTTGAGTTTTTTTTTAATCCCTATGATAGAACTTGGTTTATTGCCTCTATTATAAGTGTTTGGTTTCTTCCTGAAAAACACCTATAATTATTGTTAAGGTTTGTATCTTAAGTGTCTGCCATAGGTTCATATCCTAAAGACTTAGTTGCCAGCCTGTGACACTATTAGGAGGTAGAACTTTTACAGGTGGTGGGCCTAGTTGGAGAAAATTGGGCCACTGAGGTGTGCTCATGAAGGGTATATTAGGACCCCCAGACTCTTCTTCTCTCTGTTTGCTTTCTGGCCACCATGAGGTAAATAGATTTCCTCCACTATATGCTTCCACCATAATTAACAGCTTTGGCACAGATGCATACTTCCTGAAACCAACAACCATGAACTGGAACCTCTGAAAGGAGTAAGAGTAGAATGCAAGTAGGGATGGAAATGTTCTTCTGCATGTTCT